ATCTTAGAGGTGAGATTTGGATTATTTATGTCGGGATGTGGCTTAAATATCTCCRCTAGATGTTGACGAAACGTCTCAGCCTTGTCCTCATCAGTTATAGCAACAGAATTGTCAATTTTGGTTAGTGGTGGTAAACTAGATTTGTATTTTAAGAGTTTATTTGTTTCCCTCCAGAGGCTACCGTCAGAAGAGTATAAGTTAGATAGCTTTAGTTCGAATATATCTGATTTGTATTTTAGAAGTTGTTTCTTAAGCGAATTAGGCAGTTTATTGTAAAGTGCTTTGTGGGAGGGTAAATGAGAAGTTTGATAACGTGCCCTAGCTCTCCTTTTATCCATAATTAATGAACGTATATGTATCGGTAATAATGGAATGCTATTGAAAGTTGGGGTAAACTTAGATTGGGATGCCCATTGCCCATGCAGCTGATTGAATGATTGAGGTAAATTTATCCACTGCGTTATCGATATCCTCATGTGTTTTTAATTTAACGTTCAAGGTGATCTCTTTATCTACTAAGTTATGGAACTTAATACGATCTGTTGAAGGATAAAATAATTTTGGAGCTGTCATACGCAATGTTGGGGGATGCATTGATTGTGGGAAGTACAGATGAGTGGTCAGAGTTTAGATCCAGGATGTTTTCCGGAGTSCAGAATAAATTACTTGGTACTTTGGCAATAAAAAAAAAAATCAAGGATGTCAGGTTTTTTACGTAATGAAGTTGGCCAGTAAGTTGGACCTGGGGGKGCTAGTATTGAGTATTTTTTCGCATTGWCGRAATTGTATAGAACATTGCCACGTGGGTTACCAGATCGACAGCCCCAGGCTTGATGCTTCGCATTTATATCTCCACYGACTTGAAKTAAATGATGATAAATAGTCGAGAAAAAGAGTTGAAGATATGTTGTGTCTTGGGGGGCAATAAACTGCAGCAATGGTGATAGGTATATTATTCAGCTTAATAGATACAGCACAGGATTGAAGATAATCTTGTGAGAAATTTGGTAGTGGAGCAAAGGACAAAGTAGATTTAATTATGAMGGCAACACCRSCATGAGCTTTGTTGTCTGRATGATTGGATTTGAGCAGAGTATAGCCTGGGATAAAGACATTGGAGTATTTGGTAAAGTGAGTCTCAGTAATTAAGGCAATATCGACACGTTTTTCATATAGGACAGTTTGTAATTCATTGATGCGATTTTTTAGGCCATTAGCATTGAAAAGAATGATGATGATTGATTTTGAGGTGGTCGATTTATTTGTCATTTTTGTTATTTAAGAGGGATGAGATAACTTGTGTTAAGAGTGTAATTAAGGGGTTAATTACTGGTTTAAATTCATCAAGAAAACTTGAAATTTTTTTATTAAAATCTAGTACAGGGGGAGAATGGGTGGTATCTCTTGACTGATTTGAAGTAGCATGGGCATAAGTTCTCTGAGATGAAGAGGGAGGGAAGGTGCTAGGGTTAGTTTTCACAGGTGGGTGGCTTTCTTTTATAGTAGAATTATTATTAGTTGACTTAAAATTAACATTGTCATAAGTGCACTATGTAAAAAGTTACTTTTATTATTAGGCTTATTTCRACGTTGAAGTTCTCTATAGACGTTGCATCCTCGGTAGTTGGCTGGGTGGTTGCCTGCACATAGGGCACATTTGGGAGGAGAATCTCTTGGTTTGGTGCAGCCTGAAGAAGATTGCGAGTCTCCACAGCGGACACAACGAGCTGAGTAGCCACARTATGATCGCGTGTGACCTTAGTCTTGACAATTGAGGCATTGACTGACYATCTTTGGTTTGTATGGCTCTTCGATTTTTACCTTCGTATGAAGAAGGGAAGATAAATGGTATATTTCATTGGAGTGATCGGTAGACTCCAAGTCAATGAAGAACAATGGGAGTGGGTGTTTAATAATCTTGTGCAGCACTTTTGTGACTTGCCTAACCTCATAGAGACATGTTTCAAGTTCAGATTTAATCAGTTCCGTAGGTGCGGTAGGGTGCAAATTTCGAATAACCACTCTTAATGGTTTGTCTTCTCTCAGTTGAAAGGTGTGGTATTCTGCTTTTTGGTCCTTTAGATAGCGAATTAGTGATCTATATGATTCGGGGTTTGTRGTCTGTATTTTTAATCGATCGGTGGAAGATTTGTAGTAAAAATTGTCTACTCCGATCAGCTCAATTAGAACTGAGGAAAAACCAGGGAAGTTTAAAACTTCTTTTATGAAGATTGGAGGTGGGGGTTTTTTATGATCAGTGATGATGGATCCTTCGGAGACAGTGTCAGCTTCAATTATTGTAGCTTCGGTTATTGTGGTTATTGTAGAAGCAGGTTCGGTTTGAGTAAGCACTTCATAACGATTTGTCGTTATAAATAATTTATTATTTTTTTTTT